ATGATGCTGCTTGGCCTGCTGTGTTCATCCAGCCCTGCACTTTGTTGTCTCGGATTCTCCAGCATCTGCAGTTCCTACTATCTCTGATTCAGTATTAGAAAATGGTTGTTTTGTAGATTGGAGGAATCATATCATGGGGTTACTAGGACCTGTTGATCTGAATGTACAGGATTGGAGTATGCAGGATAAAATTTCAGCATTTGCAGTGGCACAAAACTTGGTGCTATTGGCAATTGTGAGAAACATGGTCATGGACTTCAAGAGGGGAGAGGCTGCTGGAATCAATTGGCACATTATAGGTGACTTTTACTTGTAGAGAATCTGAGCATGATGTGGTTTAGTAGGAGTGATGAGGTGAGGCAACACAAAGAAGACAGTTATAAAACAGAAGGACCTGAGTTGGCATAAATTAACTACCTTTGAATTTGATGCAGTCTTTGCTCTTAAACACACTAAGATGGCCACAGTTGGGTCTAATAACTTAGGGCATTTTGGAACATTACATGAAAAATACTGATATCTCCATGACACCCCCAACATTTTTTTCTTCCTTTCCCATTACAAACTATCGGGTGGTCATCTACTTTTTCAAGGCAAAGTGGAAGTAAACACAATCTTTGAAATTTAATCTTTGAATTGTAATGAGAAGTACAGATGGAAATAAGTTGAGGGTAAGAATGCCACTCTTGGTCATAGGTCAATGCAAAACCTAGCCAATGTGTCTTTAACTTTTAGTATACAATTTTTTTGTATATCTCTGATTCATGGCCCATGACTGAAGGCTTCCAAAGTTTTTAATTGTGTTTAATGGAAAAAAACAATAAGCCTGACTGTCCAGCACTTCTCCAATTTTGACTATTACTCACTAGAATTGCTATTCCGTATGCACTGATTACTAGCTAATAATTACGTAAAGAGTTAAAATGGGTGGCTGCTTTCTTGCCTGATTTTTAATAGGTTTTTTGAGAGGTGTGGAATTACTTCTGAAAAATACATATTGGATGTACTGATTTTGTGTTTTAAAACCGAAGTGCAGTTATTCCTGAAAACTTTAGATCTTTAGGTGGATGGCTGGTTATGCGTGGTCAAATGAATTGACCTCAATGAATAATAATATATGCAACATGTGTACAGAGTTTGCCTTTTAAATGAAGTTGGTGGGAGAGGTAAACTTACGAAATAGAAATTTTGCCCTTCTCAAGCTCTTTCTCTAACGTTATGAGCAACACTTCTCAGCGTAGCGTGTTGCTAGACAATGCTGGAACACAGTCTGCTCAAAACAGATTACCTGATGTCAGCTGTACAATTGCAGAAATGCAAACAAAGTCCAGGTTTTTTCTGATTCTTTGGTGATGGAGCTAGGGAGCTAAATTAGGTTGTTAAGTGGGGTCTGAGGAGCTGCTTTGTCTGAGGCCTGAATATAAATAGCATAACTGTATTGGAAGGGCAAAGCAATGTGTGTGTGTGTGAGTTGAGTCTAAATTTAAAATTGATTTAAAAATAAGTCTGAAACTTCTACCTTTTTCATTGCCTCTTCTGATTTGGCATTCGGAAGTATGCAATTTGTTGCTGAGTTCTACAAATGTGAAAAATCTCTAAGATGACTGTGCTAGGTTTGCATGATCTCAATTATTCATGGGAATAAGTTTCTTTGGTCATGTTTCAAATTATGGACAATCTGCTTTGCTCAATACAAGAATGAACATGAAATAAGAGTAGGATTGTCACTTTCAATGCCCTGTCTTTGAATAACCTTCTGACACTAGTTATATAAGTAGAGAATTCTTGAGATACTCAGTAGGTCAGCTAGCTTTTATTGAATGAGAAGTAGAGTTGAAACTCCAGATCTTTTTAGATGGTGTTACCAGCCGATCAAGTTCGGTTTAGAGCAATGACATAAGAATGTCTAAAAGCTCGTCTAGTGCAGTGGTAATCTGTCTACCAGTAAACCAAAAGGTCTGCATTTAAGTACCACATGCCCTAGAGGTGTATTATAACCTATACCAATAGATTGATTAAAAATAACAATGAAACTCTTTTTTTCACCTTGTGGAACTGATAATCTTGACAACTCAAGAGAAAAATGAAAAGCAAAAAATTCCTAATTGGGAGCCATTTTAGTTCTTCTATAACGTGTCAAGTGCATTTATTTTTCCTGAGGGCCAACCTTTGATTAGGACTTTATTTTTTTAGAATCATAATGGAGGACTAGGAAATGTTGTGAAGGTTCAAGATTAACAATTTTGTAATGAGGTCAGCCAGGTGGGCGTCATGGCATATGAGTTCTCTGGGGCTGTTAATTTAGTCCAAATCAGAGAGCCCTGGCTGATTTTAAAAACAGGATTGTCACAGGCTCTCATTACCGAGAGGTGTTTCTGAGGAAGCTGGATCAGTGTCAAGGACTTTCCACATGTAAATA